AAATTTGCTTGGTGTGGGTAGTTTCGGTTCTGTCTACAAAGGTGCTCTTTCTAGTGATGGAAAAGTTGTGACAACTAAAGTGTTAAAAGTTCAACATCAAGGAGCCTTAAAGAGTTTCATTGATGAATGTAATGCTTTGAAAAGCATATGACATCGTAACATCCTTAAGATCATAACTGTTTGCTCTAGTGTTGATTATGAAGGTAATGACTTCAAAAGTCTTGTTTTTGAGTACATGTCTAATGGAAGTTTTGACAAGTGGCTACATTCGGTTCCTAACGAGCAGCTTGCTGGAATCAAGAACTTGACCATTGTGAGACTCCAATTGTGCATTGTGACCTCAAGCCAAGCAATGTGCTACTTGATGAAGATATGAGTATGACAGCCCATGTTGGTGACTTTGGACTGTCAAAGTTCATTTTTGAATCATCAGATAATGCCTTGCAAAGTCAAATAACATCAGTTGGTCTAAGAGGTTCTATTGGCTACATCCCTCCAAGTATTAGTTAAATTTTTTTTTTTTTAAATTATAATTGAATTTTAGTTTTTGATTACTATTTCTCTAACTAAGTCACTCTTCTAAAAGTTTAAAAAATAATATCTAGCAATATTATTTTAACCAGTAACTAAATTAAATATATACTCTATCTTAAAACTATATAGTTTCTAAAGCATTGTAAGTATACATCATGCATACCTGTAGCTGACAAGGGTTCAAGAGGGACTATACCTTTTACGAGTAGAACTCAAAATTTCAAATATTTTGTTTTAAAACTTTCAACATTAATAAAATATAAAAATTTGAACCTTTCAAAAATATTTCTCATTTTCTCTTACTCATGTATCTTAAAACCAAAGAACTTCAAGCATATTAATTTTAAGAAACTCTTAGCAGTCTTATCCTTTGATTAATTAAATATAACATTTCTCATTTTAATTATTATCATACATTAAGTTATCACATTTTTTTTTCATTATTTTATTATATTCTTTCAAAATACACGTGTAATATGATATAATTACCTTTTATGTATATTATATGTGCCGACTACACTTTCAAGTGTTTTATACCTTCTGTATTGATATCTTACTGACCAATTTCGCACATTGTAGAGTACATGGATGGCCATGTTTCCAGGCTTAGAGACATATACAACTATGATATATTGTTGTTGGAAATGTTTATAGGTAAAAGACCTACAGATGAAATGTTTAAAGATGACTTGAACTTTCATAACTGACATGATATATTCAGATTAATTAGTTTGACAGCAATTTGAGACCGATCCTTAAACGAGAGGGGGAAAATAACCATGTCTGCAGGTTTAGATTTGGAGGGTGAGCCTTCAATGTCAGGGTGAGGATTCATGTCGTCGGAAAATTACCAAGTTTTTATGTTTGCTCTTTAATATAATCATGCTGAACAAGAATCATCACAATTTCTAAATTATTAACAAGTAAACATCATGCTGAAAAAGTCTTCTAATGTTTACTCAATTGTCGGATTTTGATAGGGATGAGCATGGATAGTGAGTAGAATCGAAACCGAAACTAAAATCTACCCAGAACCGATATCGTGCGAATAGATTCCGTTTTCAATTTTTTGGAATCATTACTGTGCGAGTCCGGTTCCAGTTCCTATATATGTGCAGGAGCCGGAACCGAAACCTGTGATGAGAACCTGAAACGGGTACCCACCACTGTCTTGGAACCGAGTCCGAGTACCCAAGTAGGAACTTGCATTGGAACCTGGATTTAAATAAAATATTAGTAAAGAATTGGGGGTCTTTATGATTTTACATATAAAAAATTTAAAATGGCCAAATGGGATGAAATGTTATATAAAAAATTATACTGTAACAATAACAATAACCTAGTCAAATAGAATAATAGATATATAATTAATTATACATATATATTTCACCATGTAAAAAACTTTAGTATATTATAATAACCTAATCAAATTAATATATTAAAATTTTTACATATAAAAAACCTTAATATATTATAATATTAAAATTTTGATTAATTAAGTGTATAAATTATAATTGGAATTATGATCCAATTAAAAGTGTTTTAATGTTATTAAAAGAATTATTTTTGAATAAAATAATATATTTGATTGAATAATATTTAGTTATTTACTTCAATTGTCAAGTTCTAAGTATATCTATAGTAAATTAGTAATTAATTAGTTATATATAATAAATTGATAAACATTAGTACATTAATAATTAAATGATTATCTAATTATTAATTAATTATAACATTACATTATAAACATTAGTAATTTACTACATTAGTACATTACTTAATTAAATTATTATAAATTTAATTAATTATAGCATTACATTATATATTTGTAGTATGATTACTTAATTAATTATAAAATTATATTATAGACATTAGTAATTTATTAAATTATTACATTACTTAATTAAATTATTAGTATATTATAGTATGACAATTCATGCCTCATGAGTCACGATATATTAAGAAATCATTAAACAAACTTAAAGTTAGAGTCATGCTAATTATTTAATTAAAGATTCATAAATCATACTAATATTAATATTTAACTTTATTCTTTTGTCACAAATTCACAATTAATGTTAATTTAACTTTATTTTCACTCTAGTAATTATAATATTATATAATATTTGTATTTTTGGATAATAAAGTTTACTAAAATTTAATTCCCAAAATTAATTTCGTAACTATACTTTGTAAAATATACATATATATTTATAATTGTAAGGTTTTCTTAATTTATTAGGGGTGTATTTGTAAAATTTTAAGGTGTGTTTGTCATTTTTTAAACTTATAGGGTGGTAATGGATTTTTTATAGGATACCCGGGTAAGGAACCAGAACCTGCATTTTAGGTTTCGGTTCCAAGAATCAAAGAACCGAAACCTGTTAGTTCTGATTGCTGTTCCTTTTCCTAGGAATCTGTAGGTTCCGGTTCCGATTCCCCTAAAAAATGCAGGGTACCCAGAACTGCTCACCTCTAGATTTTGATGGTAAGTTTTTTGTCTGGCTTCAATTGAAATTGTTGTTGGCTTCAAGTCCAACTCTTCTTGCTATTAGTTAAATTTAATTAACTAATTTTAATAAATAGTAATCCCAATATTAGTGATTTTTCCCCTAAAGAAATTAACCTAATATTAGACTTGTAAAAGAAAATCGACTCAAAATAAGCTTTATATATTTGCCTATATGACATTTAGAGATGATTTTTGAAAAAAAAAATAAAAAAATAAAATAAAAATAAAAACCATCTATTCCACGCTAAAAATATCAACTCAGTTATTTGGTTTCATGCTTTACGGACATCAACTCAGCTGCATAATAAAATTATTGAATAAGATCTTTTATTTTAACTCAATAAATTATACTTATTTAATTAATTTATAATTTATAATTGATATTGTAATATTATTAATAATAAGATATCAAATGATATATTTAAATAATTTATATATTTAAAAACAATAACAATATTCAAATATTTCTGTTAATATTTTGGACTTATAATTTTATTTCACTTCATTGTTCTTAATATTTTTATTGTCTATAATTAAAATATATTATATTATATAATATTTTTTATTTATATTATCATAAATAAATAAATAATTTATTAAATCTATTTTTTAATAATTATATATTTCGCATTCAGTTGTAACTAATTATTTATATGTATATACTTGTAAAATAATATGTATATTATATATATAATTTTAACTAGTTATTTTATATACAAATTTAATTAATTATTTAATAAATAATTTAAAATTTTACAGTTTAATAAATATATCTATTATATTTAACCTTTTTTTATGAATTTTTAATATAAATACTATTATCCAATCTCATTCTTAACCAAACACAACACATATAATCTAATCCAATCCAATCATAATCCAGTGCCATTGTATCCTAAAATTTAATCTAATCCAATCATATCCTGTCCCCCAAACGGAACCCAAATTCCTTTGCCGTTATGATTAAAATTTCTTTTTTTTTTTTATATCCTTTCCCCAAGTTCTATTAACATAAGTAGATCACCAAAAAAAAAAGGCAGCCTCTTCCCAAGGAAAAATCGTACAAGTCAATTCCCCCACTTGTCAAAGCCCAAGTTGGCCCTAACTTTCTCTTCTTCACCCACACTTTCCGATTGGAAGTACTCCAATCTAGTAAAAGGACCTTTTAGAGGCAAAAAGACTTTTCCAAGCACCATCAATAAAAGCCTTCCTTGGCTCATCCTTTCCACTCTCGGGTCTCGGCCACCCCTTTATCATCCAACTCCGAATTATGCTTGCAAAGAAGGGAAGGAAAGTCAACACTAGTCAAACTCTTCTCTTCACTCAAACTCGAGCTCTCACCTGGTTCAAATACCCCCATTGAAGACAAGGAACAAGAGAAATTAAGAAAAAGGAGGGAAGCTAACGACTAGCCAAAAAAAACTCTCTCTCCTGGTGACGTCGCACCAAGAGTGATACACGTGGCAGGTGAATATTGACGTGGAGGTGAGATGGACAAGTGTAAGGAAGGGATGAGGTGATTTGGCATGGAGATAAGAAAAGGATAAGGCAATCTCAAATGACCAACAGGAAAGAAGTGACGTGGCAATGTCTTTATATATCTTGCAAATAAATTATTACAAAAATCCATTTTAAGTGAATTCAAGTGCTATTAAAGATCTCTTAATCATTCCATGAGGCATGCACTAGCTAATTCTTAATATTAAATAAGTCCATAACCATAAATGTACAGTACAACTACCTAGCAAATGCATTTGAGAGAAATTAAAAAAGCAAAAGTATCATGAATAAGACTTGTTTTTTCATAATTTTGTCGGTTTGAGGATGTGGATCAGGATTAATCAATTATCAAAACTTAGGTACGAGACGTGGACATTAACCAAACATAATTAATAATATTTATATCAAGTAATAATTCTCAACTCAACATGCTTAGTAATATTAATGGGATTTTTGTTTCATTGTTCAAACAAGCAATCACTCTTTCTCCATTAATCCCAAAAAACTATGAAGAAATACTGTTTCAATTCCAAATGGTTTTTGTTACATTTCCTCCGCCTGTGTCATCTTTTATGGATAATCACCTCAGCCTCATCTGGTTTTGAATCTGATGAATTGGCGTTACTTGATTTCAAGAAACAAATAACTCAAGATCCCCTTCAAATAATGAGATCCTGGAATGCCTCTATGCATTTCTGCAATTGGACCGGTGTTACATGCAGTCCAACTAATGGGAGGGTCACAATCTTGAACTTGGAATCGCAAAACTTGGTTGGCTCCCTCCCACCTTCTATAGGAAACCTTACATCTCTCACTGCTTTTAACCTTGGAAACAACAGCTTCCATGGCGAAGTTCCTCCTGAAATAGGCCGTTTACAGCACCTGCAGTATCTCAACATCACTGACAATTACTTTGGTGGGAGTATTCCAATGAATTTGTCCCTCTGTACAAAACTTAGAGTAATTGATGCTGCTGACAACCAGTTTATTGGGCAGATTCCGGACCAGATTGATTCATTGTTGAAACTGGTGACGCTACTCCTTCCAGTTAACAATCTTACAGGAAGAATTCCTGCTTCAATTGGGAATCTTTCTTCTCTTGCCATTCTATCACTTTCAAGGAACAATTTACAGGGCGGGATACCCAAGGAAGTAGGACAGCTATCAGGCATCCGATTTTTTCAACTTTCTCAAAATAATCTATCTGGTACAATCCCTTCCTCGATTTATAATCTCTCTTATATATACTATTTCTGTGTGACTCAAAACCAGCTGCATGGGCAACTACCCTCAGATGTTGGCCTTAATCTCCCTAAACTTGAAACATTTTATGCTGCTGTCAACTATTTTACTGGAAGTATTCCTGAATCATTGCCCAATGCTTCTAACCTTCAGGAGGTTGATTTTTCTCAAAATAGTGTCACTGGGACCATTCCTGAAAAGTTTGGCAGTTTGCGAGGTCTAATTTTGCTTAATGTTGAAGAGAATAGACTTGGAAATGGAGATATTGGTGATCTGAATTTTCTAACTTCCTTGGCTAATTGTACGAGCCTTATAGCTTTATCCCTATTAGGCAACCGTTTTGGGGGACAATTGCCTAACTCCATTGGCAACCTTTCAAGTCAGTTGCAAACGCTTTCACTGTCAAGGAATCTGATTCTTGGAGAGATCCCAGTTGAAATCGGAAACCTTGTTAACTTAAACCGTCTAGGATTGAGAGAAAATTATTTAAGTGGTGTTGTTCCTAATGTTATTGGGAGGCTCAATAATCTAGAAGTATTGACTTTGAATGCAAACAATTTTTCTGGTTCAATCCCACTATCCCTGGGTAATTTAACTAAATTAATTGCCCTTCTTATGGATAACAATAATTTGCAGGGAAGTATACCTCCGAGTCTTGGAAACTGCCAAAAGCTGCTAGTACTGAATTTATCTAGTAATATGCTAAATGGCACCATACCCAAACAAGTTATCGGTCTTTCCTCTGTTTCAATTTATTTTGGCTTGTCTAATAATTTTTTGACTGGTTCACTACCACTTGAAGTGGGTAACCTGAAAAATCTTGCAGAATTGGATATATCCAATAACAGATTATCAGGTGAAATTCCTCGTAGCCTTGAGAGTTGCACTAGTTTGGAACGTCTATACATGGGAAGTAACATGTTGAAAGGGACTATTCCTCAATCTTTGGAAAGTTTAAGAGGTTTAGAAGAATTAGATCTTTCTTGCAACAACTTATCTGGACAAATTCCTAAATTTTTTAGCCAACTTTCATCTCTCAAGTATCTCAATCTTTCATATAATAAACTTGAAGGTGAAGTACCCAAGGAAGGGATATTTGCAACTGCAAGTGCCAATATTTCACTTATTGGAAATGACAAGCTTTGTGGTGGTGTTCCAGAACTACTTTTACGTGTATGCTCGACAAAAGTTTCTGCAAAGCATATTAATCCAAAAGTAGTAATCTCAATAATTATTGGTGTCACGATTGCACTTCTCTTAGTGATTTCTTTTGTTTTATGTTACAAAATGAAATCTTCACGAACAAGTTCCACCACATCTTCGATTGATAACCAGTTACGTCTATCTTATTCTGATATATTAAAATCAACAAATAACTTTTCTGATGAAAATTTGATTGGTGCGGGTAGTTTTGGTTCTGTCTACAAAGGTAGTCTTTCTGGTGATCAAAATGTTGTTGCAGTTAAGGTGCTAAAAGTTCAACAAGAAGGAGCTTTAAAGAGTTTCATTGATGAATGCAATGCTTTGAAAAGCATACGACATCGGAACATCCTCAAGATCAGAACTGTTTGCTCCAGTGTTGATTTTGAAGGTAATGACTTTAAATGTCTTGTTTCTAAGTTCATGTCTAATGGAAGTCTAGACAAGTGGCTGCATCCGATTCCTGACAAGCAACTTGTTGGAATCAAGAAATTGACCCTTACGCAGAGATTGAATGTAGCAATAGATGTTGCTTCTGCTTTTGATTATCTCCACAGCCATTGTGAGACTCCAATTGTCCATTGTGACCTAAAGCCAAGCAATGTGCTACTTGACGAAGATATGGTAGCCCATGTTGGTGACTTTGGATTGGCGAAGTTCATTTTTGAATCATCAGATAATGCCTTGCAAAATCAAATAATATCAGACAGTCTACAAGGTTCTATCGGCTATATCCCTCCAGGTATTCAAAGTCATACTTAATTTTTAGTTCCTGATTACCATTTCTCTAACCAAGTCACCAATTTAGATTTTTTAATACTTTTATTATATGGCTATCTAAACAAATTATTTTGGTCGGTATCTGACATATATTCTTTATCTTAAAACTACAAATTTACTAAAGTATAGGAAGTATACATCATGTATACATGGCGCAAAGAAGGTTCAGGTCGAGCCCCCCCGGACTTTAATTTACTAAAGTATAGGAAGCATATTGGATTGAAGAAGTTGCATTTTCTTAAGACTCTTTTTGACCTTTCATTTTATTAAATTGCAAGTATAATACCAGATAGTTACTTTACCAGCAATTTCATTAAACTTTCTTCGTTTCTTACAATTCTATTAGATTTTAAAACTTCTATAGTGATTTAGTTCTATTTTTTCGTTTAAGATAAAAGGGTTCTAATCTCTTGAATTTATGCTTTTTTCTGTTATATTATTAATATAAGAGTAAACAATGTAAATTTGTTTTTGTTCGAAATTTTGTTTTTTAATTTTTAATTTTTTTGATATAGTTCAAGAGTATGGTATGTTTCGAGCTGACTTCGAGGTTGTTTGCACTTTTCAAGTTGATATCTTAATGACCAATTTTACAAATTGCAGAATATATTGATGGTCATGTTACCAAGCTCGGAGACATACAGTTATGGGATATTGTTGTTGGAGATGTTTACAGGTAAAAGACCAACAAATGATATGTTTAAAGATGACCTGAACATTCATCGGTTTGTTTCAATGGCTTTTCCAAACCAGATAATGGATATTGTTGACCCATCGTTACTGTTTGAAGAAGAAACTGAAGATAATGGAATAGAAGAATCCTTGAGAAGAAACTTTGAATTTCAATTGAATAACAAAAGGAAAATGGAAGATTTCTTGGTTCCAGTGATGAGAATTGGGCTCATGTGTTCAAAAACATATCCTAGAGAGCGGATGGCAATGAATGATGTGGTCAACGATCTAAAAGCCATTAGAGACTCTTTCCTCAAGTCTAATGATAGAAACAAACAAAGGAGGAGGTAAACTGATTACAATTCTCTCTTCATCAAAACGTTGGTGCACTTTTTAAATATCTTTAAGACATGTATGTGGAAATTAAGTGTGTGTCTATATATATATATATATATATATATATTCAACAATGCCCTCCAAAGTCCAAACGTTAATTACTCCTAATTCAAAGTGGGATTTTTGAGCTAACAACTAATATGATGAGATTCCCATTTTGGTAGGCCCGGCTATCCGACTTGCCTTAAAATCTTGCATTACTTTGCTAATTCATGTTTACCGTTATACATTTAATTATCTTTCCATTAAAGATCTCCGGAATAGCCTCAAGGGATTGGTCTTGTAGTTAAGGAAGTGTCCTCCCTTCCTTGACTTCCAAGGTTCAAATTTTGGGACCACCTATTTCAATATATAATTGTATCTTACTCGGTTTATTGGGTTTGTAAGATATTCAATAAATCTTAAGAATTAGTTGAAGTATGCATAAACTGATTCGGATATCCTGTTATCCAAAAAAAAAAAAAAAAAATCACTGTAATAATACATATTACAACTATTACAAAAGTCACTTGTATTCTGTGTTTCTCATATTTTATCTGTTTACTATGTATAGTTTAGGCGTTTTAGATAGTTTTTGCAACCCAAGCGAGGCTATAACTATAAGTAACAAATTTGAGTCCCCTGAGTTTTGGTCAACCGTCAAGGACATATTTTTTTAACTAACAAAAACGTCCTTCTACATAACAGAAGTTTTTGTAAAACTAATGAGCAAAGGGCATATTTGACTTTTTCGGTGATTCAAACTTTTAAAAATATAAAAAATCAGCAAATATGAGATTAAATTTATTTTTATTTTAAATATAAAAATTTAATAATGTTATACAAAAATATTACTGAATCTTTTCTTTGAAACTCTTCCTCACCAATAAACCAAATTCCTCCCACCCGCCGGCTAAACATCCCATTTCACCCATTGTCTTCTCTGCGAAACCATCTCCTTCACCCACTGCCATGCTGCCCACCCATTCGTGACAAACCAGCAGCAGTCTCTGTCATACCCTGTATTTTTTGAGAGTTTATTAAATTTTATTTTTGGGAGTAAAGTGCAANATTTGAACATTCATCGGTTTGTTTCAATGGCTTTTCCAAACCAGATAATGGATATTGTTGACCCATCGTTACTGTTTGAAGAAGAAACTAAAGATAATGGAATAGAAGAATCCTTGAGAAGAAACTTTGAATTTCAATTGAATAACAAAAGGAAAATGGAAGATTTCTTGGTTCTAGTGATGAGAATTGGGCTCATGTGTTCAAAAACATATCCTAGAGAGCGGATGGCAATGAATGATGTGGTCAACGATCTAAAAGCCATTAGAGACTCCTTCCTCAAGTCTAATGATAGAAACAAACGAAGGAGGAGGTAAACTGATTACAATTCTCTCTTCATCAAAACGTTGGTGCACTTTTTAAATATCTTTAAGACATGTATGTGGAAATTAAGTGTGTGTCTATATATATATATATATATATATATATTCAACAATGCCCTCCAAAGTCCAAACGTTAATTACTCCTAATTCAAAGTGGGATTTTTGAGCTAACAACTAATATGATGAGATTCCCATTTTGGTAGGCCCGGCTATCCGACTTGCCTTAAAATCTTGCATTACTTTGCTAATTCATGTTTACCGTTATACATTTAATTATCTTTCCATTAAAGATCTCCGGAATAGCCTCAAGGGATTGGTCTTGTAGTTAAGGAAGTGTCCTCCCTTCCTTGACTTCCAAGGTTCAAATTTTGGGACCACCTATTTCAATATATAATTGTATCTTACTCGGTTTATTGGGTTTGTAAGATATTCAATAAATCTTAAGAATTAGTTGAAGTATGCATAAACTGATTCGGATATCCTGTTATCCAAAAAAAAAAAAAAAAAATCACTGTAATAATACATATTACAACTATTACAAAAGTCACTTGTATTCTGTGTTTCTCATATTTTATCTGTTTACTATGTATAGTTTAGGCGTTTTAGATAGTTTTTGCAACCCAAGCGAGGCTATAACTATAAGTAACAAATTTGAGTCCCCTGAGTTTTGGTCAACCGTCAAGGACATATTTTTTTAACTAACAAAAACGTCCTTCTACATAACAGAAGTTTTTGTAAAACTAATGAGCAAAGGGCATATTTGACTTTTTCGGTGATTCAAACTTTTAAAAATATAAAAAATCAGCAAATATGAGATTAAATTTATTTTTATTTTAAATATAAAAATTTAATAATGTTATACAAAAATATTACTGAATCTTTTCTTTGAAACTCTTCCTCACCAATAAACCAAATTCCTCCCACCCGCCGGCTAAACATCCCATTTCACCCATTGTCTTCTCTGCGAAACCATCTCCTTCACCCACTGCCATGCTGCCCACCCATTCGTGACAAACCAGCAGCAGTCTCTGTCATACCCTGTATTTTTTGAGAGTTTATTAAATTTTATTTTTGGGAGTAAAGTGCAAGAATTTGAAACTTTTGAGGGAGTCAGTATGTCCGAAAACAATTGAGGACTACAATAGAGTTTGACAAGATATTTGATAAACAGTGATCGATCAAATAAAAGAAAAAGGAGGAAGAAGAAGAAGAAAAGAGAGGAGAGAAAGAAGAGAAGAGAGAGAAAGAGAGAAAAAGGAAGAAAAGAAAGAGAGAAAGGAAAGAAGGGAGATAAAGATGAACTCGAGAAGAGAGAGGGGGAAGAGCCGAGAGGATGCGATGGTGGTGGCTGGAAAAGAGTTCGCCGGCGAGCAAATTCCGGCGACCGGAAAGAGTAAAGGAAGAATGATCAAATGAAAGGTGAGTAAAGTTTAATATTTCCTGGTTTTGGTGATTTTGTGATTAATTGATTTAAAGAGCACTCTCCGCGTTGTGTTGTCCATGAATTGGTATGAATGTATGATGGTACACTGAAATTTGAAGATTTGTTGCAATGATTTTAGATGGGTGGAACATAGAGGTGGTTCCTAAACAGAAATTTGTTAAAAGCATGATGTTGATTTTAAAAGTTCACTTTTGAGGTCTGACCACCTGGATTTCCGAAATAGTTATCTAAACTTTAGGTTTCGATTGAAGTTCAAATCTGGATATGTTGCTTTAGACTTCTTGAGGATTGTTTAAAAATATATTTCACTAAAAAATTCGGAGTATTGAAATTTTTATTGATTTTTGAAGTTTGCTCTGCCAATTTTAAAATTTACGTTTTCTGCTTAACATGTATTTTTAGGAGATGAATTGGTGCACCTATACTTATCCAAATTTGATGATTTTAAATTCTGGTGACTCCATTGAGTGTCTAGTTTAATTCTGGAAGGTTTCATAAGGTTTCGATTAAAGGTTAAATTGATATGAATTTTCAAAGTCAGCAGCATCAATCCTGGAAACAGTTTGGCAGTTTTGAAAGGGTTGAAAGAAAATCATGTTTTAAGTAGTTTTTGACTCTGGAATGGCCTGAAAAATTTACTGGCACAACATGTGTGTCTAGAATGCCCCATTAACATTATAGATTGAATTGATGAGTGGAGTTTTTATGAAAAATCTGAGAGTGGCTAGTGGTTCTGTTATGAGACAGTTTTGTTAAAGAGGAAGTTAAGTTTATCATTTGATGTGTGAGGTGTCCAATATATTTAATACTGAGGGGTTGCAATAGGGGAACTTGTGTATGGAGAATTTATTGAATTTTGTATACAGGGAGGCAAGCAGGGGCACCATTAGAGGATTCTGATCCTTCTTCGGATCAAGGTTTTAGCTTCAAAAAGGTGAGTGGAATGGTAATTTACATTAAAATTCATGTTGGATTTGGGTTGATTAATTTGTATCGTGTATGTGTGCTTATATTAGTTATATTTTTGGCTTATGAAAAGAATTAGATATATTTTAGCATAATTGTTTGATATGCATAATGATGATTTGAAGATTGTAAGATTGTTAATTTTGGCTGAAGAGATGGTGTGTGGGTAACATGCATGTGAGAAATTATGTATATCTTTAATGTTTATGCCAAGAATGAAATTATGGATGGAATGAAATTATGGATGGATGTCATGTTGGAATGGGATGGTTGGTATAGTATAGAAAAATCCAGCCAATCTTGGTAGGGCTGGTTTGATTGAGTTTTGATTGGAGGAGATAATGAGTGGAGATGAAGTTGTGTGAGATGGGTTAATTGTTGATAGTAGAGAAAGGGCATTTTATCAAATTGGGGGGATTTTGAATTATTGTTGGTTTAATTTTATGTGAATTGTATGGTTGTAAATTGGGACAGTTGTTTTGTTAAAGTGAAAGTGGTTGATTGATGTTGGTAAAGATGTATGATTATGTGGTGTATGGGAGTAAATTTGGAATTGGTGGGAGAAAGGAAGTTTTGAAGGCCAAATAGAACTCTGCAGCGACAGAGATTTTTCTTTGCTGTGGCGAAATCAAACTTGAAAGCATCTCGCTGTGGCGGAGAAATAATACAAAATTTGATATTTTTATGTAAATATGCAACACATATTATGAAATAATTTGTAGCTCTTCCATTTGAACAATTTCATGTAATACTTTGTCACAAATTAATTTCGGTGTTCAAATGTCAAATCCTGAAATGTGATAATCTATTGAGATGTCAAATATTGAAATAACGTTGGGTGCGTTTGGATGGATATTTTTATCCATATTTTTAGACAGATTTTGGGGATAGTGTTTGGTTCATTATTTAGAGAATAGACTCTTGAAAAATATATTCCGACACTTTTCTGACAGCTTTATAACCGTTTGAATTTTTTTTGCAGTCTTCCTTTTTCACGCGTTCTCTTTTTTTCTTTCACGCTTCTTCACCTGTTTTTTTTTTTTTTTGCAGTCCTTTTTTACGGGTTCGTCATTTCTTTTTTCACGCTTCTTCACTTCACCTGTTCACCATTTCAGTTTACATTACGCACGGTTTCACTTTTCTTCTTCACTGCTTCTTCACTTCACCATTTCAGTTTACATTAGCGGCTTCTTCACTATTTCTTCACTTCAGCATTTCAGTTTGCATTAGCAGCTTCTTCACTTCACCATTTCAGTTTGCATTACCAGGTTCTTCACTGCTTCTTCATTTCACCATTTCAGTTTGCATAACAAGCTTCTTCACTGCTTCACCACCGTCAGNAAAAAAATTGCAACTAAATTTATTAGTCACTAAAGCAACCGGTTCTGTGACTAACAAAATAGTCGCAAAAAAATAACTTTAGATGCCAAATGTTGGAACATGTGGGCCCTAAAATGTTAATCCTCTTTGCTCGACTAATGTCAATTTAGTTGGTAAATGTAGCCTTTTTGCAACTAATTCTGGTTAGTTGCTAAAAAATTGGTTGCAAAATGTCATTTTTCTTGTAGTGTTCTTTTTTTTTCTTTTTTTTTGCAGGTTTATAAATCTGTTGTAAAGAGACCCGTTGGCTTTTGCAAATACAGTTAGCTTCTATGAAGACACCCAACGCAATTATACTTATTTCTATTTTAATTTTGCCATTGTTAGTACTTTTTTTCCTTTTAACACAAGCGTCAAAAAATTGTGCATTTTCATATGTTCTGTATGTAATGGATAAATTTTGGGCATAAAAAATTATTGGATAATTAGAAATATTTTTTCCAGATTTCACTAACTGATATATTTGTTCTGTAGATTCGACATTGTTCTTTAATCATAACAACAAATTACACTCATATGCACAGATGTCTGTATAACTTGTCTTGACGTCGTAGGGTTGATTACTACTTGAAGCAGAGGCGAAAGTTTCGATGTTTTTTCAGAATTAGAGTTTGTCATACACCCAGTTGGTCGACATTGTCTGTATCTACCCCTGCATTGACGTCATCAAGCAGTATCGGATCGAACGAGGTATAAGTTTATCTATGTTTACTTGATTACCACCACATATTAGTATTTTTTTTTTTAATGTAATTGGTGATTCGTATCGTGTCCCAATGTTTGTTGTCCCTTACCGTACTGTCCTTAGATGAGTGATTCTGTGGTCTGGTCTGTTGAGATGACCCACAAATTTCTAGTCCTGTTATCTAAGCGAGCCAAAACTTCGCACGGTATTGCAATAAAAAGAGCTGATTACCAAGAAATGTTGGACGACATATCATCACTGGCTGGCAAGAGACTCAACGTCATACAATTAACCTCTAAGTTCCTTCGCCTGCGAAAAGTTTATCAAACACGGCAGAAATTTCTGCAACACACGGGGTTCGGGTGGGATCACGAGTCACAAAGTCCAACGTGTCCCGTTGAGGTTTGGCAAGAATATGTCAAGGTAAATTTTCATATTTTTTAACTAATATTATTCAACGACATTGTAAATGTACGCATTTTTTTTGGACTGCTAAATATTAATATATTATTCTTTTAACTTACCAGCAAAACCCATTGGCGTAACAATTTTACCACAAGGGACTTCCTCACAAGGAGTTTTATAAAATAATATTTAAGAAGCAAACTGCCATTGGAAGATATGTGTACACATCTACGTCCCAACCGGTAGAGACCTCTAGTTATTCCAATCACGGCGCGGTTCCCATGGATGATAACAACTTTGAACCTGATCCTGATCGGACGACAGGGGAAAAACGGCCAAACACATCTGGCCATGGAAGAGCGAGAAATGAGAGGAACAGAAGCGGCTCAGGACAATCACTTGCGGATGCCATTTTTAGATTGACGGACGAGCTTGCGGAGAAGTGGACTATGGGATCGAAGGCTAGCAATCGTAGTGTAGATGAGAGGGGAGAAGAGAACATCAGTGCTCCATTTGATCTTTTTTCCATGAGCAATTGTATTGACATCATGACAGCCATGCAAGTACTAACACAGTTTTACTTGTCGGTTGTCACGTACTTATATGAAAATCCAGGGTGGCGGGAGATATTCGTGAAACTCCCACTAGAGGAAAAAGGCTAACTGGATTTATAACAACTTTCCTAATAAGTAGATGACACTATATTTCATAAGTATTTGGCAACAATTTTATATGCGTCAGTGGGTAGTTGTCATTACAATTACAATTTATAACGCTACTGTATGAACTTATTTATGTGATATTACATGTGTAAACACTGTTTTCGATTGTCATTACAATTAAATATTGACTGTTATATTTTGCTAAGTAGTACAACAACTGTTAATTGTTGATAAATGTTTTGCAAATGTCTAGGTTTAAATGGCGTCGTCTAGCCGTACAGGAGGAAGATGACGTGGTACAGATGAGAGGGACGAAAAAGAAATACTGACATATATAGTCATTGCACTCTGCGGTGTTGCCGCGTTAGAAGCAAGTGGGCGTGAACTACGACATACATCCGTATTAACTGGTCATCTGTACATGTTGAAAGTACTCAACGGTCATCCTGACAGAATCTATGACAAGTGTTGCATGGACAAAGACTGTTTTACATTGTTATGTGAAATTTTGTCTGATCAAGGCAAATTGCAACCAACTAGGAAGACGAGTTTGGAAGAACAAGTTATGATATTTCTAACAATCGTTGGAAAAAACGAGACAATCAGAACGATGATGGAGGATTTCCAACATTCGGGTGAGATGATCTCTAGACATGTTACCGCAGTTTGCGACGCTATATGTGAGTTGAAGACAGAGTTTATCAGACCACCTGACTTCAATGATGTTCCATAGGAAATATCAGCCAACAGAAAATATTACTCTTTCTTTAAGATACTGGTTCATTATGTTTGCTATTAGTAGATAGTTAAGTTCATTGTATTATTAATTTTTATAGTAGGTTAATATAAGTAAAATTCAATTTTCATGATAAGAATGTATTGGAGCCATGGATGGCACACATGTATATGCTTCGGTTCCACGTGAATTTGCCGATAGGTATCGAAATCACAAAGGAACGATGTCACAGAATGTAATGGTTGTATGTGATTTTAAGATGATGTTCACTTATGTCGTTACTGGATGAGAATGATCTATGCATGATTCAAGAGTTTTAAATTCAATTATTGATGATCCTAATTCTGGATTCCCACATCCTCCACCAAGTATAAGTATTTTCTTGACGTATTATAACGTATTACCTCCACTGTTGAGGCCCTGTAATTCAAATAAAATGTATGATATTATTACAGGGAAATACTATTTGGTTGATGCAGGTTATCCAAATAGAGATGGGTTCCTCGCCCCTCATAAGCAAGTGGCTTACTATATTTCTAATCACCGCCGTAACCAAAGGGGGCCACAAGAGTTGTTTAACTATAGATATGTTTCACTCCGCAATGTTGTCGAGAGAACCTTTGGTGTTTTGAAAAGATGGTTTCGTATTCTAAATGGAATGAACAATTACCCGTTGGACAAACAAGGGAAGATTGTTATGGTATGTTGTGTACTTCATAATTTTATCAGAATGTACAATATGGACGACCGTATCTTCGAACAAACCAATAATAGTACGGGTAATGAGCAATTATATTGTGATCGTCAAAACGGGGCAGAATATGGCCGAAATGGAGAAGGACCAAGTCAACCGCGACAACGTATTACAGACTAGGGGTGGGATAAAAAATCTGAAAACCGAACCGAACTGAAAATTAGGTTTTTTTTTTAAACCGGTTCGGTTTTCGGTTTGGGGATTTCAAAAAATCGGATAACCGGTTCGGTTTTCGATTTGAAAACAAATTCAAACCGGTTAACCGAAAACCGGTTTAACCCTAAATAAAAAAGCAAAAAAATTTTATCCTCACCCTCACGCAGACGCAGTCACGCACTTAGCCAGACAACCACTCACGCTTTCGTCTTTCTCTCGTTCTCTGCGTCCATTCTCCAAAGTTCAAATCTGAAAATTTCAAAACTTCCAAAGACCAAATTCCAGACTCAAGTTCGTCAGTTTCCCACCGTGACTCCATCCACAGACCACAGTCCACTCCATCCACAGTTCGTCAGTTTCCCACCATGAGCTACTGAGCAGAGCAGCTGAATCAATCCATTGTCCAGTCGCCGTGAGCTACTTCATCCACACCGTGAGCTTCGTTCGTCGTTCACCAGCACCCAACACTCCAGCAGACTCCACCGTGAGGCTTCAGTAAACCCATCGTGAGCTACTCCATCCACACCGTGAGCTACGTTCGTTTGAATGTGGGTATGCTTTGAAGCTGTTTAAATGTGGATTTCATTTAATGCCTTTAAATTTTGGTTGTCTGTTCTGGTGATTGAGTTATTCTGATTTGAGTTTGTTTGGACTGTTTGAATGCGGATTTTATTTGATAGGCATGAAATCATTTTTTTTTTTTCCTTTTGTGTTGAAATTGGTGTTGGTGGTGGTTGAAATTATCAGTGATCTTTCATGTTTTGAATTATTGCTTTTGATTTAGTGGGTTCTGGTGATTGGTATGTAGTGAGTTTCTCTTTTTGGTAGTAAAAATGGAAATTAATTTTGGTTGAATTTAAGTTTGTATGAATGCATTTTTGTTTTTAGTTCAATTTCTTAGAATTAGTTATAAGTTAAAAGTTAAATTTTTAGTGTAACAAGTTGTTAAACTAGTCATGTTTTTAGTGTCAAATTTGAAACCAGAAAACAGGAAAGTGATCATGAGAACACTGGAAATTGCCTTTTAAGTATTCATCAAATTAGAGAATTTGTTTGTGATTAATGAAACTTATTGATGGACTAGATTTTGAATTGATGTAGTCCTGACATTGGAGAAAGTGCAGCACAGATGTTTGATGTTATGCTGCAATAAAAGATGATTGAGATATATGCATACACAGTTTTAATTATCGTCAAGTGATAATGAATATCTCAGCTTGACCACTCTGAAATTTAGGAGGGAAAGGATGTGAAGAAATTTTGATTAATAGGAAGTTTTTGTAGACTTGTAGTTTAACATTGGATGCATTGGATGCATCAAGTTGTGTAATGTTAAGTGTAGAGTAGCTTTATTAATGATGATTGATTAGTGAATGAAAAAGTTGNAAAAAAAAAAAGAAAAAAAAAAGGGAAAATGCTAAGAGTCTTTAGACCAACAGTTGAATAATTTTTATTAAATTTTAATCATCATAATTAATAACTTTTATTCGATAATTAATGCATAATTGATGTCTCAACTGTTGCGGATCCAGATACATGGTAGGTGAGTTCCTAGAGGTATTGTCTGCTTTGAAACCTTGGATTCGCACGGTGTTATCCTGAAAAGGCGTATCTGGGTGGTCAGGGTTCATCCAATTAACAAGCTGCGTCCAGCAAAGTCAATATTATTAAAATACTGTCTCATCTCTCTCATTACAATGAATGTAATTAGTCATATGATTTGCTATCACAATTATATAAGAGAACAATAAGTTATATACTATGTTTAAAAAGTAAAATCTAATATTACAGGGATCTATTTTCTTAAGTTTAAACCTAATTAGGGATTAATTACTTAGAGAAATCCTTTAGCGAGACCCCCCGCCCATTGACTGGGGAGCAAAACCCACGAATGCATGAATGTTGATAAAGTGGTCAAGAACTTCAACAGAAATTTTATAAATTCTTAAATATTGATTGAACCTTTTATCTGATATACATGAATGTTGATATTCATATGTACAATTTATACATATATTGAAGATTAAAACACTGTTATATTTATTTTAAATAAGTCTCTCGTCGTTTTTCTGAAGTTAATAAGAGACTGATTTTCATGATTAAATCAATATTGTCCCATATTTTTATGCCTTGGTCTCCAATATGAAAAAAGATCATGCATTAATTAATTAGGGAATTTAGTAATGTAATCTGAGAGTTGGGCCTCATTGGGCTTTACTTGGGCTTGCGAAAGTGCCCAATGAAATTAATGGAACGTTTATTTAATTATATTTAACAAATTTAATTTAGAGTGATATTATTGACCCCCCACATTTTATCTTTTAAAGTTTAAACCCCATTTCCAGGTCGATCCCTTTAAATATTTTAGCATATGCAAATGCCTCATAAACACTATCTACTTTCGAAAATACTCTTTTATTTATATTTTCAATATTTTTTATGCTTCTTGTTTTGAATATAATATTAAAGATGAAATTCATTCACATGTGTTTCTTGTATGTTGAAAGAAGGAGAAGAAGAAAGAAAAGAGTGGGAATGTATGTTGAAACACACGGAAAATTTAATTAATAAAGTTGAATTGCATCAGCCAAACAGACGAAGAAAGATATGGAAATGATAAACAAGCAAGAAAATTGTGTTCTAGAATCAAACTACAGAACATTTAAAAGAAAGAAAAAAAAACCCACAAATCATAATGTATTGATATACACTTGAATCACTCTAAACCATGCTTACAATCCACTATGTAGTCATCTTGAGAAGTTCTAGTTATATCTTATGCAGCTTCAACACCTCAGGAGCTTCCTCTTTATAACAGTCCACAAACTTGTCCCAGAACAACTTCTCTGGAGTCTCAAACAATTTAGGCAAGTAAAGGTTTTCCTTTACCAAACCTTTTGACAACAGAAACTGAAAGACAGGTGCCCCTTGGAACAATTCGCTTTTCCAGGCTCAATGTAATAAATCCTGGGCGTTTGACAATAACCGAAGGATCTGAACCCATTTTACTGACAAAAAAATCCATTACTGCCATAATCTTATACTCAGATGCCATCATAAACCATGGATTCCTCCCAAATGCTTCAAAAATCTCTTCCTCAGACAAACTCCATTTCTTATAGAAAATTGCAATTTGGATTTTACAATGTAAGGATTCTACAAATAATGCAGCCATATTTCTACACAATGATCATTTTGCCTTCTCTGAAGAATTCAACTTCTCTTGGTACAGCTTCAATAATTGGGGAGCTTCATCATAAGAATTCACAGAATTCTGCAGGAACGTGTTTTCAGGGCACTCAAACATATAAGTCAAACTATTTATCTTCTTATTGATCAAACCTTTCGATGACAGAAACTGAATTACTGCAGCCCTAGGTAAAAGCCTCTTCTCCAAGCTCATTGTAATAAGTAATGGGTGTTCCGAGATAATGGAAGAATCCCAACCCATCTTGTTCACGAAAAAGTCCATTGCCGCCATAATCTTATCCACTGATGCAATCATACACCATGGATACTTTGAAAATGCCGCTAAAACCTCTTTGTCAGACCAACCCCATTTCTTATAAACATCGAGTTTCTTTTCCCAGTGCGACTTGCTCATTATTCTTTTCGCTACAATGGCTAGAACAAACTGTATCTTCAAAGGACTGATACCCATTTCCTTGACTTCCTTCACAATTTCTTTAAATTGATCCGATTTTGCTAAGAATGAGTGAGGCCAATGACACAAAAACGTGGAAATCTTGGCCTCAGGCACACCATAATATCGCAAAATGTCAATCTTAGGTCCTATATAAGTTTCAAGAATGCATGGAGAGTTTTTAATAACAGTAATAGCCTTTTCACTAGATTGAAGCAAGTTACTAAGGTAATGAAAGGAAGGGATTATTTGGTTTTTTAAGCTCCTTTGAATGACATTAGGTCGACGACATAAAAGTTTTGCAAGATCACGACTTGAAACGCCTTTGGAGAGAAAAAACTCAAGTTTTGGCAAAAGGGTTTTCTCAGGATTGCACAAAAGCAGTTTTGGGCTTTTTCTGATGAGGTCTGAGATTTGGGTTTCTGAGAAGCCACTGCTCTTGAAAATGTTTACCACTAAGTCCGGTTTTTCTGGAGTATCAAATTGAGCTATTTTGGATGCCTTTAGAGCAGATTCAGAAGACAACCCACATGAATTAATAAGGTATGAGACGGTAAAAGAATGTTCATTTGAGTTGGTTGAGATGTATTTCACAAAAATTGGACACGAAAAATCTTGAAATTTATTAGGGTTTAATAAAGCTAAGTTAGCGTATCTTCCATGAACATGAAGTAAATTTCTAAAGAGAAAATTAAACATCATAGTTGCAAAAGTGATTGAATAAACTCACCTATGCTTGAGATTGAGAGTTGAGAAAATTTCTTTAAAACCTTGCCATTGAACTTCAAATCTTCAACAGGTGAAAGTAAGATAAGTTAAGAACTGCAGGCGGACTTGACATATTTTTCGGCGGTCCCAATGATGCGCCACCGTATTGTTCAAATTAGGTAATGGTATTATTTTGGCAATGGACTTAAGATAATATTACACCCCCTGTAACTTTTAAATAACCTTTGTCACCCATAACTGCAAGAAATACCAAGTACACCCCCTACCCTTAGAATTTTCCGTTAAATATTAGACTTCAATCACCAATCAATATGTTGATTTCTAATCGTTATTAATTTTTAATTAAACGTATTTTGTTATTATAAAAGTAATATTATACTTACAAAGACTTTATTCAAAGTTATCTACACAAAGTTATATGACACCACTTATGTATTATTATATCATTCTCTATTATTTAATGTACATTTATAAATTGGTTTTTCATATTAATTCTTTCAATTATAATGTGAAAGGTTAATTATATTATTTAATGGTTAAAATTCATTAATTTAATTATTATACTTTTTCTTACCTCAAAAGACACAATTTTTTTTTCTAATAAATTAATTTAAAGATGCCAAGGTAACTAAGAGATTTTAATGAATAAAGCTGCTCACGAGCCAGCTCGACTCGGCTTGACTCTAGCTTGTTAACAGCTTGACTCGATTCGTGAGAGGAAACGAGTTGAGTTCAACCCTACCTCGGCTAGGCTCGACTCGTTATGCTCGCGAGCCAAATCAGGCTTGAACTCGTAGGGGCATTTTAGGGGTTTTTTAAAGTATGGGCGATTAAACTGAAATTTTCAAAGCAAAATGTTTGCAAAAGTGAAAAGATCCCCCCGATTTTAAAAGCCCTAAAAATGTGACTCCAACATTGTTTGCCATAAAACCTAAATTAGTAAAGAATTTCAACCAAGTTTTCAATCGCCTCTAGTGTCTTTCCTCGTCGCCGTTAAAGTTGGTGGAGAGAGCAGGAGAAACAAGGAGAAAGAATGAAAGAAATGAAGAATAAATAAGAGAATAAAACTCATTAAGCAAAGTAAGAATGACAATTTCCCACCCAAAGTTAGGAACTTAGGCGTAAGTGTTTTTTCCCGCCCGCAAGATTTAAAAAACAATTTCCTATTTTCCCATCCATCATTAAAATTCAGTTTATTTTTATTTTTTATTATAAAAGAAAAAAATTCCCTAACTCTCTTTTATCTTTCTTCTCCCACCTCACCGCCTCAAAGCGTCCATGTCTCCTCCCTTCAGCCTCCCCACCTCTACTACCCCCCACCACAATCGGTTCCTAACCTCACCCAATCTAAACCTGATCTCTCTCCCCCAGCCCTCACAACCCAGTCCCCCGCCTAATCACAGCATCGCGGCGGATTTGTTGCTTTAGATCCACCGCAACCTAGGGTGTCCGCCACGATCTGGGCTAGATCGTGGTGGATCGGGTGAGATCACAAAGCAGTCGCATTCTTCTGCCACGGTCTGGCCGATTCCGGTTTGTAGTTATTTTTTTTTTCTTCTCTCCCTCCTTAAATGGCGACCAAGCAGTAGGTGATTTTTCCTTTTTGGTTGTTAGATAAATAAGAAATTGGTGACAATCGATCACATTTGGTTTTATTTAGGTGTACTGATAGTTATGAAAAGGAGGGTGCCCGGATCTCATCGGAAATGTCACGGCCTCCACAAAATCAACCACCAGCACCTCCGCTACCGCATAAAACGCCACATCCTCACCAATTTCTTATTTCCTAACACCCAAATTTCATCGGTCGTCACCAATTTCTTATTCTCCTATGGTCAGCCAAGGTAAGACAAAGAACGATGCTTTAAGATCTTTACGTTTCTTGTTTTTCTAAATTTTTTATTTGATTGTTTGTTGTTTGGAATGGAATGGGTCTATTATTTCTTTGATTGGAAGTGTCGAATGAGCTTTTATGCCGTTTTATGGTGGTGGGATTGCTTTTCGTTTGAGTTGCTGGAGCCTGGACTCAAAATTTTCATTTGTTTTCTAGTTTATTCACATTGTTTTTAAATAATTATATTATTTTAAAAGATTTAATTTATAAAAAAAAGTTAAAAGAAACTAAATTGTTTTATGAAATAAAGAAATTAAGTTTGAAACGCAGTGCTATTTTTGAAATAGAAGTTAGTAATTCTACTTATGTCATTTTTAATGCTCTATATAATATCAAATACTGCGTGTTAATTTCAGAAGCTGTTTTAACTTTCACAGCAGAATCATCCGTGAGGTCTCCAATATTTCATGGCAAAAAGTATTTGTGCTTACAATTGTTATTATCAATAGCCATTAATTTTCCATTGTAATATTGTTTTACTTTTGAATAATGCTTACTTCTGAATTAATTTTGTGTAGGGACCGATTCAACCGGGCACTTTTGAACGTGGGTATTACCTCATGGGATACATGAAAGATATAGTTGAGAATGGGTTGACATTACTAAAAAACAATGTAAGTTTTCTTTTTTTCTTTGCATTTTTGAATTATAATAATATATAGTTGATATAGTTTGTTGATAAGACTTATTGTGTTTACTTCTATAGTTCATGGGAAAAGAAAGATACACACGAGCCGAGATGGATGAAATTAGAGGAGAATGGGCAATGTATGTATCAAAATTTTTTTACACTTTCTTGGACCTGGTCTGACCGGTTTGTACTAGAGTTTTAAGTTTTTACCAACCTTTCTCATCGGTCGTCACCAATTTCTTATTCTCCTATGGTCAGCCAAGGTAAGACAAAGAACAATGCTTTAAGATCTTTACGTTTCTTGTTTTTCTAAATTTTTTTATTTGATTGTTTGTTGTTTGGAATGCAATGGGTCTATTATTTCTTTGATCGGAGTCGAATGATCTTTTATGCCGTTTTATGGTGGTGGGATTGCTTTTCGTTTGAGTTGCTGGAGCCTGGACTCGAAATTTTCATTTGTTTTCTAGTTTATTTACATTGTTTTTAAATAATTATATCATTTTAAAAGATTTAATTTATAAAGAAAAAGTTAAAAGAAACTGAATTTTTTTATGAAATAAAGAAATTAAGTTTGAAACGCAATGCTATTTTTGAAATAAAAGTTTAATAACAAACTTAAAGAGGTGGAGGACTTTATAAAAAAAATACATTGTTTGTGTAATTTCCTGTTTAACTGTTAGTGAGAGTGAATAATAAAAGTTAAGAGTGTGGAATTGATTGGAAAAAGAGAAACAGGAAAATGGCAAGAAAATTTTTAGAGGCTTTGTTATCCTTGAACTTGAAGTGAATAGACTAAAACATGACTGATGTAGGTGTTAACAGCCTTTAGTATTAGGGAAGTGAGACACAAAATTTTCTAGGCCTTCTTCTCTTAATTATTAAGCAGATTTAAATTATTTCATTTATATTAATATAGTTTTTTATAATTATCATTAATTGTCTTTGATTTTGTGTTTCAGGATTGCGTAGGAGGGTAAGTTCACCCCTTTGGTTTTTAGAAGCTTCGTGTTGTCCTTGTTTCAATGATGTGATGATGAGGACGGCGACAATAATGATTATACTATATAGTATTTTTCTTGATATTAATTTTACGTTAATCCTTGTTTAAAAAATCAAAGAAGCACAAAAAGGTCAAATAATGATTCACAGGCCTTGTTTTACTACAGACATGTATCACTTCGCAATGTTGTTGAGAGAATTTTTGGTGTTCTAAAGAAAAGACTTCGGATTTTTCATGGAATGAATAATTATCTGTTGGAGAAACAAGCTCGGATTGTTATGGCATGTTATGTACTTCATAATTTTATCAGAAGGTAAAATATGCAAGATGAAATCTTCAAACAGTATACTGCGGAAGTATATTTGCATGACCAAAACAAGGCAGCTAATGAAGGAAATGGGGAGGGATTGAGTCAATTGCAGCAACGTATTATTGATGACATGGCGCATGTGCGAGATAACATAACAACTGAAATGTGGGAACAACATATGACCAATGTCGTAGTTGTTAATAGAGTATAGTTGTATAAACGATATGTAAGGGTTGACAATCAGTAATTTCGTCAGAGATGCATTAATGTAGTGTTTTTAAATGATGTATTAGTACTTGAAATTAATAGTTCCAAATTTGTTTTTAAGTTAGTGATTACGAAATTACCAATTAAATATTTAATAATATTAAAACGTTAATTGATAAGTGTTTACGGTATAATAATAAAAATTAATTTAACAAAAAGCAACAAAGAATTTTATTAAAAATTCCTTTATAACAAAATATACCAAACAATTTTTTTACAATTTATTCAACTCTATATATTATCTTAAATACTTTATCAAACGTTCAAATCATATTCTCGTAATAATAACCTAACTAAATATTTTACCAAACACTTTTTCAAATCATATTCTCAAAATAACCACCTAACTTAACTTTATAATAATATTTCAAAAATATTATTCAAAATAACTAAACAAACGCAAATTTTTTATGAAATAAAGAAATTAAGTTTGAAACGCAAATGCTATTTTTTAAATGAAAGTTTAATAACAAGCTTAAAGAGGTGGAGGACTTTATAAAAAAATACATTGTTTGTGTAATTTCCTATTTAACAGTTAGTGAGAGTGAATAACAAAAGTTAAGAGTGAGGAATTGATTGGAGAAAGAGAAATAGGAAAATGGTAAGAAAATTTGTAGAGGCTCTATTATCCTTAGTGTTTTAAAACCTGGCCCAGCCCGGTCGGTTGCACCGGTTGAACCAGGACCTAGAAGCTTCAACGGGTTGGGTTTATATTTTCCTATTCAGCCAAAAACCCTAGGATTTGGGAGGATGATCGGTAAACAATTGATGGCCGAAATGTTGGAGCTTTTGAAGAGAAAGTTCTAGTGAATGTAATGGTGGTGATGGAGTTGATTTCCGGTGAGTAAATCGACTGGAAATCAAACAAAACTGGCAGCGGTAACAATGAGATTTTACTGGCGAGGCTAATGGGGGTGGGGTGAGATGGGTTTTGGTCAGGAGGAAGAAGTGCTAATGGGGGTGGAAATTGTGTGAGTTGGTCTCGTGTCAAACTAAAACCGTAACGGCAACGTTTTTATTATAAAGTTTTCATTAGTTTTAATTTCACGCTTTTATTATTTGCATTTAGTTTGTTTAGTTTAATTAATCAAAATTGCCAATTTTATTTCCTCTACTCAAATATACATTAGGTTGTTAGTTTTACTCTCTGTGGATTCGACCCTGCTTACCGCTAACTACAATTTTTAGGTTTAATTTTGTGGTTGTGACGACCAGTTCGACAGTAATAAGTAACAAAAAGAGAAGAATCTGCTCTGAATTTTTAAAAAAAATTGCATTTTTTTTATTGGCTCACGAGCCAACTCAAACTTAGCTCATTAAGCTGGGTCGTGAGCCAGGCTCAAAATCTTCTCCTCTCTTCACGAATCGAGTCTAGTCTAGCCAAGCCAGGCCAGGAAATAAGCGGCTAGGCTCGACTTGGCTTGACTCGAATTTTACTCCCTTTTCACGAGCTTGTTAAGCCAAAAACTCGACTTTGCTCAACTCGAAAACAACCTAGAGTGTAATTATGTCATCTTAAATCAAGATACCCCAAGGAGGCGTTTGGTTCAAGGAATGTTAGATTACTGGGAATGTTGGATTATTGGAAAGTTAGATTATCATGAAGATTACTGAGAATCTTTAAGAAAATATGTTTTGTTAATTTGTGGGTATATTATATTAATATATTTTGTTGGGAGAAATAAATTGGTATGTATGTTATTTAAATTACTGAATTGTCCTCTAATTAAATATTATTATTATATTATTTTTTAATATTGATTATTATTTGGATTATTATAGCCCCCTTGCATTTAAAAACTTAGCAAAAACAACCCCATAATAAAAGTTTGGAAAATCAACAAAGCACCCCCACTAACCTAGCCCCCACCAACCCAGCAACTGTAGGCCGTTGGCAATGACTGCAGGCCGCCAATAGTCGGCAACCTAACTGTGCACGGAAGGTAGGAAATGCCCTTCGTGTGCTGCATGGCCATTTCCGGCCAAACGTGATAGATTTGGCCGTTGACGACCAGATCGATGGTGGATCTGGCTGTCAACGACTAGATCTAGCATGATCTGGCCATTTTCGGACAAATATGTGGTCGAAAATGGCCATAGTGGCGCACAGCGGCCATTTTTGGCCTTCCTTAAGCTGTTCCGGCAGCGGCCACGACTGGTCACGACGGTGGTTGCCGGCAGCAGGTGGGTGGGGATGGTGGCTTGGGTGGGCTGTAATTTGTTTTGAATTCAAGGGTAATTTTGTCCAAAAAGTTAATTAATTGGAGTGAAATAGTAAAAGCTATATTCATGTAAATAAATTTAAAAATAAGGGCATTATTGTTCTAAAATTTTATTAATAAGAGATAAAGTTGTAATAAAAAAAAAAAAATTATCGTGATAATGTTAGAATACATAAGAAAATGGAGGTAATAAGATTACCAACAATATTACCAACAGTAACTACTATTGGTATTTGAAAATTACTGAAATTTTATATTACTTGACAATCAAACATTATCATCAAGTAATATAAGATAACATAACTCCAGTAATCTCACATTACCCCCAACCAAACGCCTCTTAAGTTTTAAAAAGTATTAAAGCACCTCCTTAAACCTACATGCCAAAAATAAGAAAATAAAACTCATTAAACAAAGGAAGAATGACAATTTCCCACCTGAAGTTAGGCGCAATGGGGCGTTTGGTTCAAGGAATGTTAGATTACTGAGAATGTTAGATTACTGGAAAGATAGATTACTTTGAAGATTACTGGGAATCTTTAAGAAAATGTGTTAACCTGGTATATTATATTAATATGTTTGGTTATGGGGAATAAATTGATGGGTATGTTATTTAAATTACTAAATTGTCTCCTTTTTAAATATAAATATAATATTATTTTTATTATTAATGTTTGAATAAAATCTTTTAACCCCCAATATTTCATATTTAGCTAAAACACTCCGCTTATATAAAACTTTAATTTATGACTAAATCACCCCCACCTACCGCCACCGCAAACCACCTTCGAAAGTCCCTGTGAGTAGCTTACCATGACCAAGAGGCTCCGATATGGTCGTTTCTGGCCATATTGATGGCCGAAAACGACTATATCAGGCCAGATCTAGCTTGATATGGTCGTTTTCGGCCATGAATATGGCCGGAAACGGCCATATCGAAGCCTCCTGGTGCCTCCCTTTGAATCTCGTTCTTTTTTAGGGACTCCAATGAGTTTTCGACGGCAGTCCGTGGTGGTTAGCCCGCTGTCGGCTGTAATGGCTGGGTGGCAGTGGTGGTAGTGGTTGGGTGACAGTTGTGGTCTGTAAATTGTTTTAAATATAAGGGAATTATTGTCCAAAACTTTAATTAAACAAAGGTAAAATTGAAATAGGATATTAATGTAAATTTCTTTTAAAATAGGGCATTATTGTCCAAAACTTTTATTAATAAGGGATAAAATTGTAATATTAGAATACTTAAGAAAATAGAGATAATCAGATTACCTCCAATATTACTAATAGTAATCACTATTGGTATTTAAAGATTATCGATATCTTATATTACTCGATAAGTAAATATAGTAATCAAGTAATATAAAATCATTTAACCCCAATAATTGCAAATACCTCCTAGCCAAACGCCCACTAAGTGTTTTTCCCGCCCGCAAGATTTAAAAAAACAATTTCCTAATTTCCCATCCATCATTAAAATTCAGTTTTTTTTTTTTTTATTATAAAAGAAAAAAATTCCCTAACCCCCTTTTATCTTTCTTCTCCTACCTCACCGCTCCAGAGGCGTCCATGTCTCCTCCCTTCAACCTCCCCACCTCTCCTACCCCCCACCACAATCGGTTCCTAACCTCACCCAATCTAAACCTAATCTCTCTCCCCCAGCCCTCACAACCCAGTCCCCCACCTAATCACAGCATCGCGGCGGATTTGTTGCTTTAGATCCACCGCGACCTAGGGTGTCCGCCACGATCTGGGCTTGATCGTGGTGGATCGGGTGAGATCACAAAGCAGTCGCATTCTTCTGCCACGATCTGGCCGATTCCGCTTTGTAGTTAATTTTTTTCTTCCCTCCCTCCTTAAATGGCGACCAAGCAGTAGGTGATTTTTCTTTTTTGGTTATTAGGTAAATAAGAAATTGGTGACGATCGATCACATTTGGTTTTATTTATTTGTTTTTCTTAAAACCCAATATTCCTTGTCATCGATCTCACCAGTTTTTTATTCTCCTAACACCCAAATGTCATGGAAAGTTTCTTATGACGACGGTAAAGATGTTGTTGAAGCAAACGCCATTTGTTTTTCACTATCAGTATACCTATATAATTTTGTGTTTCATTTGAGTATTTCTTTTAATTAATTTTTTATTGATATGGTTTGTGTTTTACATGAGTATTTCTTTTAATGGGTTAATTTATGTACAACTCTCAACTGATTTTGTAGTATGTTTGTTGCTAAGTGTGTCTACAATCTAGGGAACTTTATGAGATGGAATCCTGTGCGAATAGGAGAAGGAAGTCCTCTTATAAGGATGAATCATGGTAATTCTTTCCAGCAACTGTTTTAATTGTTTTAGTTGGGCTTGGCCTAAGCTTCTCAAAACTATATGTTATTTGTCTTAGTTTTGCTACCTTTCACTTTTTATTTCAATAATGCTTCTTGGTTGCCTTACCATGAATTATTCTCTGAAGTATCAGAATGGTGGATAACATGTCAGCTTATTCTTCTGTCATTTGTTTTATTTTGGGAGTAATGTCTTAATTTTGTTTTAATTTTGTATGTAACTCAATATTCTTATTTGGTGTTAAAGTTCTGTTTCTTGATTGATCTGTTCTCGCAGCATGCTTAGATTTACAGTGGACTCCTGAAGGTGATTTGCATCAAATAAACAAGAGCAAAAGCCCGCAGTTTCAGTCAACTGAGTAACTATCACTAAAGCTTAACTTAAAGAGAAAAGATACTTGCCACTGTCCCCGACGAGAAGGAGCTTGATCAGGTAATCATAATTGGCGTGAGCTCTAGCTGGCGCAGATTTACTTTGAATAGCTCGAACCATAATCAAACAGTGCCTCCAACCATTAGAATGTGCAATATGAATTGCAAGAAAAACTGCCATTAACTCTGCATAATAGGCAGAGTGAGTGCCTAAACTAACCACGAAACCTCCAAGAAAATCACACGAATGGACTCTTCCCCACAAGCAGATGAACCAGGATTCCTTCTTGATAATCCTTCCGTGTTGACCTTAATCCACGATGGAAAAGGAGGGTGCCCAGATCCTCATTTCTTTCATTAGAAAAATGATCCACTATTAAATCTACAACTAAACCAAGCTCCTGTTATAATTTGTTCTCGTCATTTAGAAGTTACATCAGAATTCAGGGAAAGACTTCATCAATGCTCCTGTTATGTTATTTCTATTACTCTGAAGTAAGCAAGATCAAGTCACAATGTGTAATATCAACAGCTTCGAAAATTCTCCTCTTTCCTCACCTTTCCCACTCCACCTCTTCTCTATCTCCACTTCACCCTCATCACTGCCAAACAACTTCATCCACTACACCAGAAACAAAGTGCAAAACTAAAGTGACAGTCTTTTCATAAATGGCAGTGGCGAATGCTTTTGGAGCTACAACTCTGAGCTTGAAAACCTCTTCTTCTCATTTACCCGTCTCTTCATTTCCCAAATTAAAACCAGAGACTGCATTTTAACAAAATACACCATCCATACATACGAATTTTCATACATAAAATGTATGTGTTATATTTACCTATACAACTGATAATAAAATCTTAAAATACGACATACCAAAATATGGTTAAATAATAAAAAAATATATAAAACTTTACTTATGTTTTCAAGTAAAGTTCAGATCATTAGAAAATTCTGATCAAATAATACATTTGACCATCGAACTTGAATCCAAACTGGTTTACAAACAAATTTGATCAATTTTCAAACCCATGTATTTGCTCAAAACACGTTTATATAAAATAGTCTCCATATATAAGTGTTCATATGAAAACAAAGTAGTTGGAATTAATTTTCCAAGAAGCTGAGGGGTGCTTTGCCGTGTTCTTATAAAGGATTTGACATGAGAAAGTGCACCAGAAATTAACGAGAGCTTTGATTGAAATTGTTTTTATAGTTTAAAAATCATCTGTTGAAAGAAAAATAGGCCCACGGAGAAGGTTGGTGGTGAGGGGGAAAGCTGCTGACGCCAGAAAATGCGGGTGACGACGTTTGCTAACATGCGCCCCCTCCTGCTAAAATGGGTGGTTGTTTTGGTGAAAAGAAGGTTGGAGAGAATGGTGGGGATGTTTAAGAGGCTGGTGGTGAGGTGTTTGTTGTCGTGGCATTCTTCGCAAATTCAAATTGATATTTTTGCTGTTTAGGTACTTTTAGCTTAAAGATTTTGTTGAAGCAAATACTACTTCTATGAGTATACTTACAGCATTATTTGCATTGCAACAGATATTTAAGTCAATTCTGTATTATATTTCACATCCATTCAATACTCATCTGATTGTTGTAATTCTTTAGCTTTAAGTTGGGGGCATTTTATTTTGATTTTGGAGGAGCATGCTGTAAGATTTTAGTTGCTTCAATTTTCAGTTGATATCGTCTCTGTCAGCCTGCTTTGTGTAATTACGATTTTATTGAAACTTAGTTGAGTTGCAAATTTGATAGAACTTCTTTCACGAGATTTTACTTTTATAACTTTTTCTGCTTGCCCATTTGAATACTTAAAACCATTTTCCTATTTGCTTCATCACTGCTTGTTTTGTTTTATCTAGTGATATTTATATTTAGTTTCTTTGTGATTGTTATATCTCTGATTTATCTAGTATATTGGTATTACTTTTACTCTCGTTCAAAGGTGGTCTGATTATTCGTCTGATTATCTTGTTGTGGACATGCATGGCTCTAAAGATCTTCGTACATTTATTCAGGCAATTAACACAATTTTTGGTTATAGGTGACCTATAAGATCAGATTTTGTGAAGTTTAAAGTTTCAGGCAATTAAGACAATTTGTGGTTATGGGTGCCCTGTAAGATCAGATATTGTCAAGCCTAAATTTGATTAATAGCATTTTCTCTTTCTTCTTATTTGTTCATTTTTATTACTAATGTATGATATTCTACTTTGTTTGCTTGTTTGAAGGTTGGTTTGATTGGTTCTGAGGAAATTCTTCGAGCGACTGTAGATGGGTTATATTGATCATTGTTAATTTAGTTTTGAGTCTGTTAATCAAAATTTGTCTCCAGGAGGTGGTATAGACGGTCGCAACAACCAATCCAAGCTGTCAGATGATGCCAATGCTGGGCACAAGCAACTCAGTTTGATCTGCTTCATGAGGACGAGGACTCGTGCATTTGGATGTGGGTTCTTAGTTTTGCAATCTTTGCCTTGATCTGGCCCAGATGATCATTCCATAACAATTACAAAATCGAAAAACAAAACTTAACAATCACACAAAGGGAATCGCTATGATTAAATCCCAGTAATGTTATCCGACCAACATCACATTTGTAACACAGAACTTTTCTCTAATAAACAATACATCGGTGCCAAAGACATGAAATAACACCATTGCATGTTACTAATTTCGGTAACGTTATGCAAGTGATTGATTTACCTATGGCTTTATTTATTTGGATGCAAATCATCTCGGCTTTGATTTCTTTAATCTTTTTAATGATAACTATTTTGTTATTTCTTTAATTTAGCTAATACTCATAGTTAAATAAATAAAAATCAATAAATAAGCAAATTATTAGAAGCTAAGCAAGTGTTCATAAAGATAACATAAGCAGATTGGAGGATGTTAAAGGTACATGGAGAGAGACTGAAGTATGTTCATAAAGATAATTTATCCTAGTGTAATTTTTTTTATTTAAAATGATCATTTTTATTAGAGTGAATGACAATTCCTCACCCAAGGTTTACTGTAACTACATCTTTCCACCTATAAACTTTGAAAAATGCATTTTCCCACCAAGTATGGCACTATCAATCTCATTTTCATCAATGGAATTTGTAGAATAAAGTTACAAAATTCCCTTTATAATTTAACTGAAAAGGTATAGAATAATAAATTCAGTTTTTTTTTTTAAATTAAAAATCAGTTTAGTAAATAAAAGAAATTAAGTTTTTTAAACCCTAGACTCTAAAAGAATCCCAAGTCCCAACCAATCTCCTTCCCAATTCCGCCGCCTCCAAACGCCTCCACCCCAATTTTCTTTCTGTGCCCTAACCTTGGCCATCGACGCCCCAAAATCCTCCACTATAATGACAACTACGTGCGTTTCATTCTCTTCAATCTTATCGTTGCTTGCTTTTTATGAAGTCCCACCGCGAGCTAGTGCTTGCTATTTCACAAATGCTCCATGGATCTCATCGGAAATGTCACGGCCTCCACAAAATCAACCACCACCACCTCCGCTACCGCATAAAACGCCACATCTAAAACCTCCACAACAACAACAGCAGCAATCACTTCTAAAACCCAATATGCCTTGTCATCCATCCTCACCAATTTCTTATTTCCTAACACCCAACTGTCATCGGTCGTCACCAATTTCTTATTCTCCTATGGCCAGCGTTGTCTTTCTCCCAAGGTAAGACAAAGAACGATGCTTTAAGATCTTTGGCTTCAAGATCTTTACGTTTCTACTTTCTTGTTTTACTAAAATTTTTTATTTGATTGTTTGTTGTTTGGAATGGAATGGGTCTATTATTTCTTTGATTGGAACTGTCTGAATGAGTTTTTATGGCGTTTTATGGTGGTGGGATTGCTTTGTTTGGGCTGCCTTTTGTGTTGCTGGAGCCTGGACTCAAAATTTTCATCTGTTTTCTAGTTTATTCACATTGTTTTTTAAATAATTAAAAGATTTAATTTCTAAAAGAAAGTTAAATTTTTTATGAAATAAAGAAATTAAGTTTGAAGCGCAATGCTATTTTTGAAATAAAAGTTTAATAACAAACTTAAAGAGGTGGAGGACTTTATAAAAAAAATACATTGTTTGTGTGATTTCCTGTTTAACTGTTAGTGAGAGTGAATAATAAAAGTTAAAGAGCGAGGAATTGATTGGAGAAAGAGAAACAGGAAAATGGGAAGAGAATTTGTGGAGGCTCTGTTATCCTTGAACTTGAAGTGAATAGACTAAAACATGACTGATGCAGGTGTTAACAGCCTTTAGTATTTGGGAAGTGAGACAAAATTTTCTAGGCCTTCTTCTCTTAATTATTAATCAGATTTAAATTATTTCATTTATATTAATATAGTTTTTTATAATTATCATTAATTGTCTTTGATTTTGTGTTTCAAGTTTGGGTAGAAGGGTAAGTTCACCCCTTTGGTTTTTAAAAGCTTCATTTTGTTCTTGTTTTTAATGATGTGATGATGAGGAGGACGACGACAATAATGATTATACTATATAATATTTTTCTTGATATTAATTTTACGTTAATCCTTGTTTAAAAAATCAAAGGAGGACAAAAATGTCAAATAATGACAATTTTATTTAGTTAGAGAATGGTATTCGAATTGTAAAATGTTAATGCTAATGGTCATCTTGATAGAATATTTGCGAAGTGCATGGGAAGCTGCACGTTTGGAGGATGTTATGTCGACTGGTATTGGTTTCTTCATCTTCAGATTTAGGGACGAGGATGCGGTGCATTCAATCCTAGAGAGAGGGATGTGGATGTTTGGGGGCAAGTCGATTATTTTCCAACAATGGCATGCTCAGTTTTCTTTTGATAAAAGCTGCATTTCCGAGGTTCTGGTATGGGCTCGTTTGTATGGGCTGTCTTATTCGTTATTGTCTCACAAAGGACTTTGCATGGTTTCTTCTATGTTGGGTCGGCCGTTGTTGAGTGATAAGACAACTTCTGAATGGACCCGTTTAGATTATGCTTGGGTATGTGTTGAGATAGATGCAGCCAAGCCTCTCAAGCGCCAATTTGAATTTCAATGCCGGTTATCTACTGAACCCATTCAGCTTACAGTGCAATATGAGTGGACTCCTAAGAGATGCCCCAAGTGTTGTATTTTTGGTCATGTTTGTCACCAACCAGAGGTACTTATTGCACATATGGCTTAGGGTAAGAGTAAGACAGTTATTAGCTTCCAAAAGGCACCGGGGAGTGGTATTGCAGTGCGATCTGAGGACCGTGATCCTTTGAGACAGTTAGCTACTACTAATCCCATTAGGGATAGGGAACGAGGGAGAGATGTTTCAGCACCAGTTGGGGTTTCATGTAAAACCCCATTCCTGATTTTAGTTAGATCATGAATTGTATTTAAGTTAATTAATTCTTTTTTTTTATTTATTTTTTGGTATTGTGGTAAGATAGGGGTATTTCTGTCAGTTTTTAAAGCTATGTTAAGGGGGTGAAATCGAAGAAATAAATCCTGATGGGTTTGCATGTATCAAGAGGGAAAAATTTGGACATTTTTGCTAGGGAAAGCTTATGTGGCTGGGTTAAACTGAAATTTAGAGGAATTGGGGGGCAGAAATAAATTTTAGAAAAATGTTTGTTTAAAAGGAGAAGGGAACTGGGCAGTTCGCCCAAAGGAAGAAGAAGAAAACGAGAGGAGAAGAAAGAAAGAAGAGAGGAGAGAAAGGAGAAAGAAAAGAAAAGAAAAGAAAAAAAAAAGGGAGAGAAGAGAAGAAAGAGTGGTTTGGCCGAGAGATAGAGTGAGAGAAGAAGAGAAGAACAAAGAGAAAGGGAGAGTTTATTAGTTTTAAGTCTGTGAACAGTGGATCATCAAATCGTGATCTGGAGCTCATTCGCCGTCCGATCGTGCTGATTTTCGGATATGTTGTTCATGAAACACAGCTCTACATTCTGAACGGTGGAGATCGAAATCTAAGCACTGTAATAGGCAGCCAATTATAGGATAGAAGAGTGAGTGGTTTAACCAAAAAGTGTTTTTAAAAAAAAAACTTAATTCCGGTTTGCATGTCAAGTTATCTATTTCTATTATAATGTTTTGGGTGCAAAATCTTGAGTTAAGTGTTTTATTTGCTAAAACTTATCTTGCATGTTTCGGCTGAGCAAAGTTTTGGGTGATAATGAATTAGATCTTGTTCCAAACTAATAAGCTTTCATGCTGCATGTTAATTAAATATATGTATATGTCTGTCTCATGAAATTTGATGTTGATGGCTGCTTGATTTGGGGTGTGGTGGCACTATAGAGAGAGTTGGGTTTCGGCTTATGTTGAAGGGTGGAGAAAATCATATTATGCAGAGTTTGGTAACGGGAAATGTTGGTGTTGGCTTATTAAATTGTTGAATGGAATATATATATTTATTTAGAATGAGACTTTATCATATAATTAACTCTTTTCTTTTTTTTATATATACACATATAGGTGTATAAAGGTGCATTTGGTGTTCTGTTGAAACATGTTTTACAGTTTACATTTTCAGCCCTATATGTGATTTTTGAATATTATGTCGTATATGCATGATTTATAAGCGCATAGGTAATGTGTTATTGACTTATATGTTACTGAGATTATGCATGAGATTGTTATGGTGCTAAAACCACCCTACGAAGTACCCATCCCCCAGAGATACAGATTTTTGGCTCTGCCCGAGCGATGCAGGATTCCGCTGGGTATGACAGTTTCAGATTTTGGCTCTGCGCATGCGTATGACAGATTTTATTGGCTCTGCCTGGGCGTTGAGTGGTCCGCCAGGTATGACAGTTTTTGAGGCTCTGCCCGCGCGATGATAGACCTTGCCGGGTATGACAGGTACGTCCCTCGCTCTGCCTGCGTGTGGGACGCCCACCAGGTACGACAGATTTCCCCCAGGGTACTAGTTGTGGTGAGAGTTTTAATAATAAATGTTGAGGTTTTATACAGAATCCGATACAGTTAAAGGAAGTAAGTCAGAGTACAGTTTACTGAGTGCAGGATGATTAGAAATAAATTATATATTGTATGCGAGAACGGGGTGGTTGTTCTATTGCATATTCATAAAGTTACATTGTTGCCATGATTTGCTTGAAAATTGTTGTATGTTAGCATTATTCTTTTTTTTTAAGAACTTTTATAAACCTCCCCCTTTTTCCCCACTCACTGAGTATTTTTAGCTCACCCCTTTTTAAATGTTTTTCCCCCCACCAGGACCTTCCGGAGATCGTGCCGAGCAGTGAGCCTCCGCTCAGGGTTGTGCCACGCGTTGACATCTTTTATGTGGGTCTTATATTTATGTCGCATTGTAAATCTGGACTTTCGTTTCAAGAACTCATGTTTTCCATGATGTATTTCCTTTTGTTTCATATTTTGGAATGTGTAGTATAAGTGGAAAACCTGATACCAAAAGTTTCCCTAACTATTTTCTTTTGTAAAACGAAAGATGATGCATGTCTTTTTGAGATGTTTGGAGATGGAAATACTATGATGTTATTCAGGAAAAGTATGTCTTTAAACAGGTTTCGCAGTTTTTCTACATGGCACGTCTCGGGTATCCGAGTCTTGTGGGAGCGTCCGGATCCTACAGGATGAGGAAATTCGGGACGGGTTGTGTCATTTCAGTTCC